GACTCAATTGAAAAATAAGCTTGAAGCAGCACACCGACTGAATGCCTGGAGAGGCTTTTCTGTTGCTTGAATTACAGGTTTGATTCACAGAGCTGCAGGAAAGAAGGAAAAAAATTTCAACAAACTCTCACATAGATGAAATATTGAATTGGCTGTGGACCATCAACAATCAGATTTCTGCTCCTTTCTCTCTCTGCTGAAGGGACTTTGTTTTTGATAAATTATTCCATTTGGCAAGTGCAAGGTGAAAAGTTTATCCCGGTCATTTGCAGCTTTCCAAAATAAACATGTCAAAGATTATGATTCAAGGAGGGTTCAATCAGTGTTTGTGTTCGTGCTAATATCGATTATTGCTACTCAGTCAGCATTTCTACTGCTAGTACTCCTCTTGACCAGATGATAATCTTTCCAGTGGTTACAGATCCCCATTTTTCCCCTATCTGTCTTCTACTTACTTTTGTGATATTGGACTTTTAAACAGGTTCTAACAACACAATTTAATTCCAGTTAGAGGTTTTAAGTCTTCTGTCACTACAGTTAAGGTTCGCTTGCTTTAAGTCAAATAAAAACACTTGATTAAGGTTAGCAGTAACAACATTACAGCATTTCTTTTGGATATATATATATATACAATGTGAGGCACTCAGCACTAAAGAAGGAGCTGATGTTACAGGGTAAGAGAGCGGAAACAGGAAACAATTACTGATCTGTGGATTTAAATAGAGTAAGTAAGTGAGAAATCATTTGCCGAGACTGGTGCTGGTGTGACAACACCTTCACCATGTCAGAGAGCTGCTTAGCTGTACACTGTTATGTACATGCAATCTGAGCTGCTGGCACTTCCCACACTGCAGTTTAGATTACAGCAATACACCGGTCAAATAGTTTTTAGTTTAGTTTAGTAATTTAATATTTGTAACAATGGAGACAGTTTCTGTGACGTCACCCAGATGTTTCTGACGAGCCATTGTGACTCCACCGGCTCCCAGCTAATCCAAAAACGGTCAAAGATGTGGAACTTGGGTGGAGCTGAAGTGGGCTAAATTCACCCCTGTGCAGTCAAAACATGTTAATATGTTTAATATGAGGTGTTATGGACTTTGACTCACTCACTCACTGAGCCACAGAGTACACCCAACCATCATTCATGACTATCAGAGCAGAGCATCTCACACTCATTTGAAATTAAGGTTCAAGGAGTTTTTCCCATTCACCTGCCAGATGCATTTTGTTGTGTTTTCAGGAAACTTTTTTTTTTGTTTCACACTAGCTGATGGGAACTGCTACAGCAGTTGACAGCTCGATGCGAGCATGTTGTTAGACAATAGAGGATGAAACAGTGACAAACAGCAGAACAAAAATGCTGCAGAATATAAACAGTAATGGAGTGTTAACTTTTTATGGAAACTTAGGAATATATATTGATAAACATTGCTGTTGTCATTTACATAAAGATCACATGTGGGTGGTTGTTCTCTTTCTGTGTGTGTGTGTGTGTGTGTGTGTGTGTGTGTGTGTGTGTGTGTGTGTGTATAAGCATGTTAGTCATCAATATTTTATCATATTGGTTACAGGGATGTTAATTAGCAGAGATGAAGGGATTCTGCTTGTTTTGGTGTCACACTAATACATGCACGCACACATTACACAGTGACATACATTTATGCACAAACCCCTACCGCTACAACTTAAACACTCATACACACACTCAGTCTTCTCTCCATCATATACATACACGTGCACACACAGAAGCACACACAGAAGCACACACGAGCTCACACCAATATTCCTGATCACACCAGAGTAGAAATATAGAATGTTATGTTTTCATTATGCAGATTTTCTGACACAGAACGTGTGTGTGTAATTACGTTTGTGTGTTTGCGTCAATGAGGCACCGAGGAGGGAGGTGTTGTACTGATTTTCAAAACTAGATCAGGGGCATAAACACACACACACACAAACACACTCACGCAGTCTCGCCTACCGCTGTGAGCCACTTCTCCTTAGCTCTCATCCCCCGATAGTGGTCTTAAAATTGCAGATCCGATATTGAATATTGATGCTAGATCCTCCCACAGCCCCCCTCTCCTGTTTATAACTCTGTTCTAATGAGATCACTTTGATTTCTTTTCATTTCTAATGAGATCACTGAACAACGAGGGGGCCATAAAGGCTAATTATCTCAGTATTGATTAATTTATAACAGCTATTTTCATATCTGTAAGAAAAATCGTGTTTTTCCTAGTTTTCACCCACTGCTGGAGGTTGTTTTTCAAACAGAATACAGATAGGATGGGTCTTTTTTCTTTTTTTTTAATTCTTTCTTCCCAGTTGATGCAAGTCTTGCTTGAAGAGGCATAATAAAACTATAACATACAGTTCTTGCATTTTCCATTTTAGAGTATATATGCTGTTGGCTGTTGGAATGTCTGGCCAGAGGGTCAAACAAAGTACAGTAACAGTCGGTAGACTGAAGACGAGTGATTTATTAACAGTGTTACACACAAAAAGTCAGCATAGAGTATCTGTTCTGTGTGTTTCATCTGAGATTGTGTCGGATTGCTACATCATTGATAACATCCAAAGCTTCAGATATTACCAGTGCTGAAGTTGAAGACAATTGTAATAGTTTTGGTGCTAAACTACATCATGTATCCAATAATATGTAACGTTCTTGGTATAACTTAGGTGACCATATTTTCAGACTCACAATCCCAGATCCTTGAGTGTACCGCACATTCACACGTGCACCGTAGGTGTTTTAATCAGGATGGGGGACAATTATTTCAGAGCTTAGCACACCCACCAGCTGAACCTTTCAACACCATGAATGCCGTGAATGCAGCATTTTTGTTGCCAGGTACTTTTCAAAAGAGTAAGCTTCCTGGAACAGAAGAACATCATGACAAACAGCTATGTAAGCTCTGATAATAAGTATAATGTTATGATTATTATTTTATTTGTGGTAAGAACCAGGACAATTTGGTAGTGAATGTTGAAAATGTTGACATTTTAGTATTTTAGGGTCAGATAGTTTGAAACCGGGACAATCCTCGGCAAACTGGCTGTACTGAGGCAAAGCCGTGGTTTGAGCTAAATGCTAACGTCAGCATAGGAACAAGCTTACAATGACAATTTCAAACGGCTGATGTTAAACGCTTACCATGTTCAAACATGACATACAGCTGAGAAAGTATTGGGTAATCTCAACCTGATGATGGTGATGATGTGGATAGATTCACACACCAACATTAAATATGGTACATTAATATGTCATACTGCTGATTTCTCTATGATTCTCAGGATTTATTTTGGCATTTCACATTTAGGTCTCCTAATTTTTTGTCGAAATATACCTACTTTACACAATTGCATTGATTTACATCTTCTTCAGCAAGTTTCTAGTATTATGTAGTACCTGAAGTGTCCTGAATGACTTTGCTGTCATGCTAATGTCCTCAGGCTTTGGTTTCGTTGTAATCCACAAGCATGTTGCAGTTGAAGTCAGAAAGACAAGAAGTTTTTCTTTTGTTCTGATGAGGTCTAAACTGACAAATGCGCTCTCGGGAGATGACAGTAACAATTAAAGGGGCAGATAAAAAAGTAAGCATTAAGTGATTTCATGAATAAAGCAATGACGTTCCCCCATTTCAAATGCTTCAAAACAAATTAAAATGGTTGTGTGTCAAAGCATATGTCTAATTAGGGAAGCGTGGTTATGTGTGTGGATGTGTGTGTGCAGTGCTCTAGGCTAGCAGAGAAGGCTAATGCGGTGGAAAATGTGTCTCAGCCGGGCCATGAAATAACGATGAGACTCTGTGACTTAATCATGTTGACACGTGGAGATTTCTCTTCATCTGCCCCTCACTCTCTGTCTCACATAAAGGCATGCTCTCTCTCCTTCTCGTTCTATTTTTCTCGCTCCCCCCTTCTCTCTCTTCTCCTCTCTTCTCTGCTCTGATAAACTGTGACAGTGTCTGTCTTGCACTGGCTCTTTCAATTCATGCTCATAACTTAATTAGTTTAATATTGTTAACAACACCAGAGCAGCTTATAAAAGCTCTGCTTCCAAAACAAAAAACTTCTTAGAAATTCAAACATTTAAGAAGGGATTAAAGATGTGTTTTAAAAATATGTACTGGGGTCTAGAATTTAATCAAAGATATGTTGAATAACAGAAGTTGAAAAACTTTCATTATATCAAACCCCATCAAATTCTTTATGTGGCTGGCAATAGCCACTCGATGTATTTGCATTCTGTTATTTCCTCTCTATAGTTTTAATTGATACTGGTGGAGTCCGCCTTTCCCATATGAAAAACAAATTGCATACCCACGCACAAAGGGTTCACAGTCACTGATGCATGCATGCTGGACATAATGTAATGCATTTAATGTGAAAAATACAGATGGTGTATGGATATTTGGAAGAGGAAACATAGATGTTTACTGTCTTTTTAGTCAAAACAATGTGACAAAATGAATCCTCTCAGCCCACATTTTGCTTGGCTGCACTTTAAACAGATAAATGAGTTATTCTTACTCTTTTACATTTCTCACAGTCGTTCCTCAAGGCTTTTTGCTGCTCCCAGTGGTCAATGCACTTGCTTTTACCATCAGTGACCAACAGTTGTCACCAAGTCAATCAGGACTGAAATATCTGTTCAATGTATTTGGTAAAAATGTTCAGAACCCTTTAGTTCTGATGCTATTATGTACAGGCAATATGTGGGAGTTCTTAGGAATCGCTTTCTTTCCACTTTTTCTTATTTTTCCTGTTGTGAGATTGATAAAGGGGTTAAGTCTACTTGTCCAGCCTAATTTGGAGAGCTTTCTGTGCATGATTTTGTCCAAATAATTTCCCACATCTTCCTCGATGACGCATTGTGGTTCAACCCCACCTTGTTGAATTGGACAAGATGCTAAATGCCAAACTCTTTGCTCAGTGAAAATGTGTGTGATCTGTGAACTTATACAGCTTTTTCTCTCTTTGTTCAGGTGGCTGTACATTTGAGGATTCATACAGCAGCTGTGGGTACAGCGTTTCTCTTGGAACCAATGGATTTACCTGGGAACAAGTCAACTCCTGGGAAAAACCCACCATGGACCCTGCTCTGCCTACTGGTAGGATGCTACACTTATCTTACTGTGTTTCTGTTATGTTGTTATGTAATCCTGCAATCTTTATTTATGACCTATGACACTGTGCCAGTTATAGTTTTATAATATCTACAATTTTGGCCTCACTACTTGGACCAGGTTCTCGTATGGGCTGGTTGGTGCTGACAGTTGGTAAATAAAATCAAGCCAATCTTTGCCACTATTTCTCATTAGCATCATTTTAAACATTTCCATGACAGGCATTGGGACAGCATATCGCAAGAATATTAATAATAATGCACATCAAAAGTCCAATTTGTATTTTTTCTATTCTAGAGAGGCAAATTGTTAATTGGTTGATTGGTTGATTGATTGATTGATTGATTGATTGATTGATATGCACAAATTCATGTTCCCATGAGATTTGGGCTGCTAGGAACTTGATTTGAATGTGCTCCTTTCTGACTGGTATGCTGGAGAAAACAGTGGGGTGTCTTTGCCATTTTCAGCCATTTGAAGGCCTCTTTAGACTTGCTGATATTAAGTATCTTACAAACCAATTACAGAGGAAGACATTTTAGCCACTTGGTCATTTTCATCAGTGTTTGCTATGGCGCCACAACATACATCTTTTGGACCTTTATTGTCAAAGTTGCAATCAGTTGTAGGATAAAAAGTTGTAGGATAAAAAGTAAAAAAAACCTCTCTCTCTTTCTGCATTAGGAGAAAGGTTATGTTAACTTCTCTTTCTCTATATATCTTCATCTCTCTGCATCCGAGTTGGCAGACTGATATAACTTGGTAGACAGATCGTGACGTGACCCCAGCTGGGTCTCTCCCTCTGCCTGTCAAACGCCAAATGGCAATCAGACGGCCCGTCTATCCGTCTCATTCTCTCACACACTTATGCCCTTTTGCTCTCTGTCTCTCGCCCACTCTCTCATTTTCTAACTCCCACACAGACACACACACATGCTTGTCCCCCACTCTCTGTCTCTTTTCACAGTTTCTATTTCTTACATTTCTCTTCCTCTGTCTGTCTCGAGTCACCTTCTTCCCCTCTCTCAATTCACTTGTTTGACTGACTTGACTGTTTATTGCAAACTGTATTTCCACAGCAGCATCAACACTCACATGCAAATTATTTAAAAGCCAATAAGGGTATAATTTCCTTATTTTATCTTCTTCTCTTTTCAAACTGGATAAATCTGCTGGATAAATGTTGAAAATGTATTTAGCACAGCCTGGTTATGTCTTTGCTGTTTTCATGGTATGATGTAGTAACCTGGTATCGTGCCTATGTGTGTAATACACACACAGTATCACAATTATATTTCATGCTCATTCCTCAGTCAAGTTAGCAATAACATATATGCAATATGCTTAATATATGCAAAGATACTTTTTCAAAATAAAGCTTGTTGAGGTCGCAGGTTGGTTAGGTTTAGGCTAAAAAACTACTTGATTAGGTTTAGGAAAAGACAGTACCTGACTAGTCAGCGTGGACTTTTGGTTTCACACAGGACTCGAACAGCCATCTACTGGGTGAAAGTCTAGAATGTGTTTGAGCCCTCCGCCAAGCCACTACTGCTGGTACTGCACCTTCATACATGTGTAGTTTTCACATCTAGGCGAGGCAGAATGTGACGCTGACATGGTATTCTCCAGTGCATCAGTGGGGCTATTACACACTTCGGCGTGACACTGCGCAGGGAATGGTATAGTTGTGATCAAACTATTTAGTTTCTGATTGCTTTTTAAAAAAAAGTAAATTATAATGTTGCTGTGGTCAGATCATGGTGTCAATTGACTGTCACTGTACTCAGATAGAATAGGTCAGTAATAATAAATAATAATCTACTGTGCTATACTAAGAGGAGAGCTGTAGTGCACAGAAGATGCTCCTCTGAGCCATCCATTAAGTTTAAATAGATCCAGCTGCAGAAACAACTGTTGACAGTTTTGTCAAAGTTGGTTCTGTACAGGAGTGGAAGGCGGGAGATGCAAGTCTCACCAGGTAGACGTGTATCTCCCTGTTCGATGATATGAACAAATTCTTCACTGGTTCAGACATTAAAAGAAGTATATCTTTTTCTTACTGCCTTTCTCGTCCTAACCATTCATCGCATTGATCTCATAATGCACCCAACAAGCCTATAACCCGCCCTTCTTCCCTCTCTCTGTATCATACATTATCCCTCAGTCATGTCAATTATTGCTCTCATACATCATCATCTCTCCCTCTCTCTCTCTCTTCCCATCATTTCTCTGACATGCCAGAAGTGGTGGAGAGAGAGATCTGTCAGCAACATCCTCCACTCACCAGACCAAGATCTTGTACTGAAGATCCGATACGATTGAATGGGCATGAGCGCCATGCCAGTCTGTCTCTTTCTCAGTATATATATGTCTAATGTCAGTTATCTGTCTCATCTATCGTTGCGGGTGGTGGTTGTCAGGGGCAATAGCCATCACGGCCTATAAGCCCTTCTCATCATAGACAACTTATCGACGGCACGCTGCCCTGACAGCTGTAGATCTGATAAGGCAGGACAAGAACAAATTGTCTGTCAGTCTCTTTGTCTGTCTCTCGCTTTTAGTCTTTTTTTTTCATGATGTTAAGTCTGCTGATGTACTCATACTGGACCTCAGATAACTATATTAAAATATCAGTACCATGTTGTATTGTTGCTATCAAAAGACTTGAAACACTGACAAATGGGGCCTCTTATTCTTATTTCATATTCATATATATTATATGTAAAAAGCTATAAAAAAAAAAGTTTATTTTCCTGTGCAAGTAAATAGACAATCTGTGTTCAACTTGCAACTTCCTAGTCACACAAATCGGACACAATAAATATCTAAATCAGATTTGAATAGATAGTATGAAAAAAAATGTTTTGTTTTTGTTTTGATTCATAAATGAATAACAAAATAACAAATCGTTTTTCAAATTTTCTGATTTTAGAATCTATATTGAATATGAATAGAACGAATGATACACAAATGAAGTGACAATCTAGTGTGAATGTACCCCTGAAACTGAAGTGTATTGGAAAAACAAGCTGTTTGAAGAAAAAAGGGGGTCCAAGTTGCAAGATCTAAAAAGTACTAATTGACTCCATAGTTGTGTTGAGTCAATAAAATATCTCAAAAGAGATGAAAAAGTATTTAAGGCTCATTTTTTCTTTATAAGTATGCACGTCCACCAAGATTCAGAAATCTTCAAGCTGTATGTAATGCTCTCTAATGTTTCAGATGTTTTCCACCAGTGTAGGTACAGCATGTATACATGTATGAAGGGTGCAAATAAGCCCCTCGCTTTTGTCTCTTTGCTTCCATTATCGACAGTCATCATATAATCCTCTTTCTCGCCTCACCTCCATAATATTGATGTGGTTGATATGGTTGTCACAGAGCGTAACCCACACTCGACAGCTTGTAGATCTGACAAGATTGGATTGGCACCATCGCTCTCTCCATCTCTCTCTCTTTACCTCCATTTAGACATCGTTGTCAAATAGTCCATAGTCCTGACAGCTTATAGATTGCAGGGTTGGGCGTGATTGGATTGGAATGAGTGCTTTGTTAACTTCTTCTCTCATCATCTCTGCGTTGACGTGGAATGATATAATCCTCACCCATGACAATTTGTAGATGTGACAAGATTGGATGGGCATGGCTGTTTTTCCATCTCTTGCCACCTATAGACATAAAAATCTCACAGTCTGTATTCTTGAGAGTTCATAAATTGAATGCTAAAACCAGTTTTAATGCATATAAAATATACATATATACATATATACAATATACATTATACAAAATAATCACAACGTTAAAAAACAATCATGAAAATGGATCCCAGACAGACTTCATAAGACTTTATATGTTTCCTTTAATGTTTCATTTGGTCACGCAGGTGAGACTGTAAAGAATCTGGAAGTGGAAATAGTAACATGGAATATGATAACTGGTTATTGCTCTCAACCATATGAAAGCATTTTTCTGTTTATTGGCTTCTATACGGTTATATTCAGCTGCTAAACATGACTGCCACACACTTATAGATACACACCTCTAGTATTCTTAGCTGAGCTCTGGCTAGCATTTTTCAAAATAACAATAAACATGAGTAAAAAAAAAAAAATGCCACCGCGGTAAATTTATTTAACTGTCAAGCTTTCGCAAACCTGCAAATCACCAAAAGAAAAGAGAGGCTTTTGGGATTTTTTGGGCTCGGCCCTACACAAACACACACACACACACACAAACACACACACACACAACACACACACACACACACACACACACACACACACACACACACTCATATCTCATACCTCTTATTACCTTCAAACCCTAGGCTGAGCGAGACAAACTCACACGAGCAGCAAACATCAAACATCAAAGCCAGTTGATGTTTTCAGCATCCATCAACAAGGCCACAATCTGAAACGTGAAAAATGATCAGAGAGAGAGAGAGAAGACGGGAGTTAGAGTGAGGGAGAGGGAAGAGTGAAGGCAGAAAAAATACACAGAGAGAAAGAGGATGATTGAGAGAAATGTATTAATAAATGAGAAATAGAGAAAAATCAGCATTCATGTACTTCAGAATCATCAGCATATGAAAGCCTAATCAAACAAAAGTGTGTTTGAATTGTGTATGTGTGTGTGTGTGTGTGTGTGTGTGTGTGAACATAGCTCTTTGTCACATATATGTTGTGCAAGTGTGCGTTCTTGTGCGTCTGCTTAAGCACATTAATACACTGTCAAATAAAAGGAGAGACAGCAAATCTCAAACACACACAAAACAAAATCCAAACTACATGTGATCAAAGCACTAAAACTGGATGGGAATATCTCATTCATGTAAAAAAAGAAAATGGGAATGACAAACTGTGAGTAAGGTAAGAGGTAAAAAACCAAAAAAACACAAAACACATAAAGTTTGAGATTTTCTTCTCATTAAAAAAATGGAGTTACTTCGGAGAATGCAGACAGAGTGAAAGTGAGATAACGCT